CGGCCGCAAGATGTGCATGATCCCTAATGCGATCGCCCTTCTCTTCGGATCTTTGTAATCGACAGTCTTCCATCCATTCGTTCCCTGTCTCTCAATCTCGAAGAGAGACCCATAAGAGAATTCCTCGCCGCACGTAAGTCCTACGCTATTCTTATCAAACAGAAGGTCTACGTCACTACCCGCACACGGTCCCATTACTTTCGTCCAATGCTCGATGGTCCACATCATGGGATTACCGCGGAGCTCTTCGCCTTCGGTCGCGCTCTTGTCCATAACTTCCTTGCAGATACTCGCTGAGACGCAATTTCAATTCCACAAAAGGAATTCAAGCCGCAGTTCCCTCAACTCGTGTCTGAAGGGTCTCAATTCCTCGTAAGGCACCTTCAAGGGAACCAATTTCCTCACCTTCTCACTCTTCTTGGGCGCCATGTCTTCAATTTGCGTTTCGCTAATCGCAAGTTGGCTCGATTGCAATTCCTCTTTCTCTCGCTCGTTCTTGCTTGATATCGCAATGTCGGCGCGAAGTCTCCTCGTACTGCCTTTACCCTTGACGCCCTAACATTGCCTTCTCCCGCGCCTCGTCGAACTCCCGACGCGTGCAAACATCGTCTGGCCCGTTGCATGATTTGAAATTGATTCCGATGTCTTCGCCGAAGACGCAGCTCTTCGTACGTCTTTGAAAGTCTGCGCCAAAGACACGAAGATCCGAAGATCTTCGGACGTAGACGAATTCTAACTAATCTTATCATAACTTCCTATAAATCTACTCTTTCCAACTCATATAACTATCTTCTACACAAATATGTTTATGTTTTTGTTAATTTTTAAAGAAAAACAAAAAAGTAGGCCCCACAACTCAAAACATTTTTAACTTTAAAATGAAAGAAATCAATTGCAATGAAAAATTTTAACATTATTAACTACAAAATTTGAGCTTTATGAAATGATAATATTGATGATGACTATGCAATTGTTGATATTAAATAAGTTGTTGTGAATGAAAGAAGATTTGTGTTTTGATGGGAGTGTTTGATACTTGATGTTGTAATTGTGAAAAAAATTGCATCACATTTTATACAGTATTGTGATAAGCATATTCAGATTTTTTTAATGAATGGTTAAATGTCATAACTAACAAGTATATGACTTCTCACACTCTAGAATGAATAGCTTGTTTGACAAGAAAATATCAACAGTATCCGAAAAATATTATTCTTCGCTGAGCATATTCAAGATTATCACAACAACTTGTAGTGTAGTAACATCATTATCTGCTTAACAGCTAAAAAATATGAATTAATGAATTGAATTCATATTGAGGTGCTTGGTATGAATAGACTTAAAGTAACTGTAGACTATTGCTACAAAAAAATCATCATTGGTGAAAAAACCTTAACAAAGATGATGAAAGGGTAGGATGAGATGCTCGCATAAATAAGTCCAAAGTGATCATGAAAATTACTAAGAAGAAGTTCAAATAGGTGAAAAGTTGTTGTTGAGTATCAATGACAAGACAAATGTAAACTTAAGAAGCTTGACGTGACTACACAAGTTTAAATATGCAAATAAGAGAAATAAATTATGAATTGGAAATAATTTGCTAAAATTTATGAAAAAATAAAAAATTAAATGATGATGAAAACCAAAAATTTCAAGTCAAAATTACAAGTCATTTAAACTGATGAGGTATTAGTTTTGCTACAATCAAGAGATGCTTTAAAGGAAAAACTCAAATAGAAGTGACATAAATAAACAATAAATTTTAAATTCATAGTGATGATAAGAGAGAGCAATTTATGAAAAAAAATCTGATTCAAGTAGAAACTGAAATCTGATTTTAATTCAAAAAACCATTTTGTGTGAATGTTACAAGATTTTATATTGATCAAATTTGACCGTCATAAATCTTACAACATGAAATTCATATTACGCTCAAATTCTTTCTTATATTAAATTTATTTTGAGACATATTTTGCCATTAAAAGTTGGTACAAATATGTACTTGCAAAACTATAATTAATATTTTATTCAGAGAATGCAGTCTTGAAAAAAAAATTAAAACATATGTGAATGGAATATTATAATTATCAAAAAACTTACAATATGAGTTTTCATGTTTCAATTTGATTTTATCAATCTTAAATGAAATTTGATAGCCACTATATTGTAAAAATATAATAATTATCTAAAAAACTAGAAGTAGATTAAAGCAACAAATCAAGGTGTTAAACTATTGTTAATATGAATAGAGTCAAAGCAATTAAAAGAAATTGCTCTGATTTGTGATATAAGATTGTTCCAAAGATGATAAACTTATATAAAAAAAATTTCTGAAGATAGTGATAGTAAAAACTAGTTTAAAGCTATGCTTACAACAATGAGCTGGCAAGATTGCAATGAGATGACATGAATACTAGTAGCAGGGTTTAGGATTTAGGTTTAAAACAAACAAAGTGTTAATAGATTAAAATGTACAAAAACATATGGCAAAAAACAAACAAAATAGTTGTGAATAAAAGGAAAAATCAAGTCATAACATGCAGATTTTTAACAATATGAAAACATGTTTTTTTGAATTTCAAAAAGAAATTTTCAGAGTTTGGTTAGAAAAGTTTGAGGATTTAACGGATTTTGAGCCGATCAAAATATTTTGATTGCAAGTAAACATTAGGGTTTCAGCTTGAAGTTGACATCGAAGTTTTCATTTGATGGTATATTTTTGAAATTGCATTAACATCTTGAGTTTTTTGATTAATGTGTATTTATTCAAAAAGAGCTTATAATGTGTGCTATAGTTAGAATTTTAGGATGATTAAATTAGTATTAATTGTGTTTAAAAAAATACATATTTGATTTGAAGTTGAGAGTGAAGTTTATGTTTTTGGGGATTGCTTAAGCGTCATAAGGTTCTAAAAAGCTTGTTTCAACTTTAAAAAATTACAACCTGCACTACATGTAAGATACAAATCTCAAATTGATTATTACTTTTAAATGAAATTGGGTTGTTCTAAGAAGATCAAAACTTTTTCTTCAAGTTGAGAATGAATTCTAATTTTTTGGAGATTGCGCAAAAATCACAAAGTTTTTTACAAATAATTCTCAACTAAAAGAGATTTACAACATGTGATACATCTTAAGCCCAAGTTCAAGTCAATTGAATTAATTTTGAAAAAAAAAATTGTTTCAAGAAGACCATGAAGTTGATAGAAAGATGAAAATATAATATTGATTGTATGATAGTTTCCATAGTATTTTAAAGAATATTTTTTTTCAATAACAAATTTAGACATAAAGTTTGGTAGTGATAAAATATTTTTTTGAAGTTTGAGATTGGATATAATAATACGTTGGGATCGGATTGGTTCTTGGTCAAAAGGATCTGTATATCACTTTGTGTTTCAATTGATTTATCGAAGATGTACTTGGTATCGAACTCGAAGTATAAAGCAAAATATTTGATTCACGTAAAGACCTCAAGAAAAAAATTTACAGCGTGAAGTTCAAATTTGTCCAAAATAAATTCACGTACTGTCAGATCATTTCAAAATAGTCAGATGCACATGTGACACCGCAAGTTGGATTATAAATGCAAGATTAGAAATGACTGCAAGAAAGTTAGCAGTATATTAATTACTTTTGTTGTGAATGAATATTTAAGTGAAGTTTAAAATTGATTAAAGCTACGGGTTGAATTCATGTTGACTCTTGTGCATAAAAGTATTTATATTGCTCCATCATACAAGAGAAATGATTTTTTTTTGGAAAGATAGGGAAACGAATTTTGAGAGGGAAAATTTGTAAAAGTGTAAGAAGAACAAGTTACGATTTCATGTGAAGTTTGACCGAGATTAGGCAAATCAAATAGAAGCTGATATAAACTTCGTGAACATTTAAAAAGTTGAAATTGAAAATATAAAGGATAAAAACTGAAGGAGATGACTCACACATATATCTCATGAAAGTATCTTGAAGCCAGTCGTTTGGGCGTTCTCAGATCAGTCTAATATACATGTGACGCCGTCTCTTTTTGCCTAGCAATCTTGCTCTATTCTAATATATGATCTTGAAGAGTAAAAATGAATTAGTGAATCAATGAACTAATGTTTGACTTCAAAACAGAAAATAGCAAGATCCAAAATATAGTGAATTTCTTTGATTACCAATGTAAAGGATAGAGTGTTGTAGAAATGATAATTTTAGATAAGGTATATATAAATTAAATTTCAACAGTATGTCAAACTAAGTTACAACAAATCTCCATCAATTTTTTTATCAACTTCATATGGCTTATTTTGAAAGCTAATAATACTGAATTCTTATTCATGTGTTGAAAATCACCACCAATGAGAATTTGAGATGCTTAATATTTAAATTATAATATTTTTATTTTTTATTTCCTATACTGTAAGAAAAATTTTACTAATGTATAAAATTTTGATTATTTATATTATAAAATTTTTACGATCAAAATGATACTATAGTCATGATAACTATACACATTTTTACAATGGGCATTACATCAACACTCTAAATGATCATATACTATTCTATTTCCGTCCCAAGTCATCACAGTTTTATTTAGAAGAGCTTCTTAAATAAAACACGAATGATTTTTCTCTCCATGGAAACTTCTAGATATTTTTCATACCGTAATTTATATTTATGTGATAATTAATACGTAATTGTACAATTAGCTCTATATTGACTATAAGATTAACATAAGTAAAAATAAAGTCAGATAAACATCATATTAAATTCAGCTCCTGACAATTTATGAAAAATTTATATCTGTTGGTATATCCAAGAAAGATCTTGATTACTATCATAGATCGGTGTGGATCGTTAGAGTTTAAAATATAAAATATGATAATTTGAATATCACAAACACTCGAACAGTTTGTTATTATTAAAAAAATTCAAGGCAATTCTCTTTTGATAACCGATCCGCACTCGCAATATATGCAAACCTGGAAAAGGAGCGTGCGAAGTGAGTCGGTAACGAACAAGAGAGCCATATTCAAAAGCTCGTGCTGATGCGAGGATCGTCATCTGCAAACTACGCACAGAGTGTTTTGGAGTTGTCCACTTTTAAACACGTAGGTTGTCAAAGTCGGTCAGCCATCTCTTTGACCGAAGGACTCCTGAAGAGAGAGACATGTAGGAAGACCGATGACTCCGGTGCTTGGATCGAACCCGACATGGAAAAGAAGATGTCAGGAAAAAAGACGAACGGCTTGGCCGATTACCATGCTTGTCATCCTTTTGGAGATTCTAGTGTGGATCCTTCTTATTACCATGCTCCCCCGCATCGACGTAGAACTGCGAATGACGTGTCAAATGGCGCGTGTGACGTACTGGCACCTTTTCTTCAACGGCGTGGCGTGGGCCATTTTCTCCGCTTGTGCAATGGGGTTCACAAATTCAACGTTCGATCCGTGTGGAATGAGAAGTTTCGGGGGTCGACCCATCCCTGACATTTCGCACGTACAAGGAAGTCATGGTAGTTTTAGCGTTCAGCTTTGCGCATTGTCATCTTGCGGCACTGTCATGCGGCGTGGTATGTTATTCTTGCACATCTTGTTGACATGTGGGGCATCGGCGCATTTTTAATTCTTTTCTCGCGGCCGCGTTGCCACGGTGGAGGTTAACTTGCGCCTGAATTTCACACTCTCTCGACAAAGGAATTGTTTGCACACTAATCATGAAGAAGACGATCGGCGTTCCCCGCCTCCCGGCATGAATTAAGAATGTTTTTCTTTGACTCGCGAGTCGCAGTCATGCAACCTCCTCCCAACTTCTTCCACTCACCATCAAGGTCCATGATGGGCGGGTAGATTATGATCACTGTAGGCGGGAGATTATTAGGGTAGGTGGCATTTTAAGTTAATCGGGAAAGCCCGTAATAGCACCGTGGTCTAGGTTTTTGATGGTTTCCTGTGCGGGGTCGGGTCGTGTCAAACTGGGCTTTGTTGTTCCGGTGGTGATGTGACCTGAAACCCCGAAGACGGAAGAAAAGTTCGTCCTCCATCGAACGATCCTACAAGTGGTGGACGATGACCATTGGATTCTATTCCATCTCCGCCACTATTATGCACGCATGATCTGGATCGGAGTGATGAAACGACGGTTTTGTCCGGATGGAGACTTCCTCGTCGGCTTAAATACATTCGCATGCATTTGATTCTCTTCTGGTCTCCTCTCCCTCCTCTCGACGACAATGTCTGCCGTATCAGCTTAACAGATTCTTTTGGAAGGTTTGCCTCTTTATCTTCTACCCAGATCTTGGAGTAGTGTATCGACAACTTATTGTGACAGTTTGCTCCAGGCTAATCTAATTGTGTTGATGTGGTGGGGGTGACGAGTCGTCACCACCACCGAGTGGCAGGACTTTGCAGGTAGGGAGGGACTTCTGCATTCCCACTCAGCGAAATGAAATTGTGGATATGTCCGGGCAGCCTCACCAGAATACACCTAAGATGTACTTTGGCTTTCGTTTCTGGTGTCTGTCCCATGGATGTCTTTGGATGACTGCCTCAATTCTGGATTAGGGGTGTGGGTGACTTGTAGCTTTTAGCAGGAGGGACGGTTTAGGTCTTAGAGATGGTTTCTAAGTGCCAATCAGCTATTGTCTTGAGAACGACTCACATGAACAACAATGGGGATTTTTTCACCTTCACGGAATCTCAAGTAGCGAAAGAACACCCTCCATGTCTAAACTCTGCGACTTTTCTTTGTACTTCACAATGAACGTGGTTACAGTTTCGTACTAGCGATGAGATCTACCACATGCCGCACTGGATCTCATTCAAGATTCGTAGTGAGGGAAGTGTGTCGACGATCGTCAAGAAGGCCACGGACACGGCAGGGGTCGAGCCCCAGGAGTATATTCTGTGAAAACCACGAAAATTCAGACGTAGGTTAATTGTATGTCATTGATCAAATGGAGAAAAACATTGAGAGATTTATCCCTTTGCCTTCTCCCTCAGAACAGGCGCCAACTGGCAAGTTATTCTCATGATCCATCGAGAATTTTTTTAATTTTTGGAGGCATAATCCCAAGAGACTTTTATGACATTTCTTCTGACATGGCTTTTTGTGCTCGCGAGAAGTTGATATTTATCGATATGCTTTATTTGTTAAATATTATGGATAAAAATTCCTTTTGTCATCCCAGAATTCTTATATTCTTTTATGAAGGAATTTATAAAGCCCCGTGAGATGCCCATCACGCAGAGGTCAAAACCGGTGACTTTGGTCTTGGACCACAACCAACTGAACGTCAAATGCTCCTGGGTTTTGCTTTCTAGAACACTTCGCAAAATGACTTGAACCACTTTCCTTCTGACATGGCCTTTTTGATGCTCAACGGGATTAGCATAGAGCAGTATTGGTTCTGTATCATCGTCTGAACTGATTTGTGCTTTCTGCGACGCTATAAATTTTCTTCGCCAGCACAATTTGCACACAAGCTGATGATGTACTGCAACTCAGGGATGTGAACTGGAGCAATGCACAGATTGAAGCAGCAGTGACCGTCTCTCAAACAATCACGATCCTTCAAAACTCAACAGCTTCTTGTGCGGGATTTCAAACTTGTCTCTTCTGTTCGATTGGTTTATGTGTAAGTTTCTGTAACTTATAATTTGTTGTAAAGCCCAACACCAATGCGGAATGAATTATATGTCTCTGAACATTAGAAGCATGTCCGACGTCCAGCCTGTTTCTTCCGAGCTTAAGAAGGAAGGGACGCATCCTGACCGATGGGCAGAAAAGATGTAGGTAATCTTAAGTCTATGTAGGTAGTCTTAAGTCTCCTCCGACTACCTACATCGAATGGCAGAGTAGACGAACATCGGAAATGGAACGGAAGTATGCAGTGGATATGGATTACGAAAGTCAAGCGGTCATATAGGCATCGTGCCCGTTCCAACTGACTCGAGGAGTTAGGCTTCTGTTGATTTTTTTACATGTTTAGCAACGCATTCTTTCAGATAACAAACCGCCGTTAGAGAACAAAAGTGAAGCAGGGCCCACGGTCCACGTGCTATGTTGTCTTTTTTACATTAGCCTCCCTCTATTGCTGGTGACTAATCGAGTCAAGCGCCTTATATACTGTCGATTTGACTAAGAGTATTTGACTTCTGGTATAGAGCGTGCCTTCGGCGAAAAACTCTTGGCATCGTAAGTCTTGTTGTCAGAGTCATCACAAGGCCTTTTAGACGGGGGCCACTGTCTTAGGATCAGAAAGTCTTCGAACTGGACATTTTCTCACACGATTGTGAAAACTGCACCGAGGACGATGATGAACTTGGGTAATTACGTGTGATTTCAGAATTCATCATAGCTTAAATCCGAGGGATTCACAACTCGGCGTGACGACTTTAACATTTGCCAAGCAGCCAGTGTAGAAAATCGTCACTTGTACTTTCATATCAGCATCGAGTGCTTGAAATATCTACACATTGTGCAACATTCTCTCCATTATTATTTGAATTGTCTGCAAAGTTTATTTCGTGGTCGAATTCTGCCTCTCGACATGAGTTTTGGTAAGTGCCGATCAGAATTGTGGTGGAATTGCATTCTTGCCATGCACATTGTGCTAGAGCTCAGACTACATCTGCAGTGTAAAAGAAGCGCATGCCGTTGTTCTCGTACAGATTCATGCCGACTAGGAGGACGACGTGAGCAATTTTGTGTGACCCCTAACACGTGAACAACGTGATTACACTTGTTTTTAGGGTGAACTTATACCTGCTGTCGCCGGAACAAAGATGGATGAGACAGAAGTGCAAGTTGAGATTGCCTGCTGGGCTCAAGAGCATCCAGAAGCCGAGCGAGTCAACTGGAAGGACGGCAATGAACCGTGGGTCAGCTTCGAGGGCAAACTGTGTACGTTGCACGTCGGCCTGGGAGGATTGATTTGGAACATACAGGTTCCAGTAGGGTACCAAACTGAGCTGAGCGTGGATGGCTCTCGAAGGAGGTGCTGGGATCCACTTGATTTGCATGATACACTGATCGTACCTGACAGGAACATGCCCTTCCATGTTTCCGTTGTGTATCCTAACCAGCAAATATGCAATGCAGCAGACGAGACAATGCTTCTTGTACAGCAGCCAGAACCAGAACCAGGCTTTGATTATCGCGAGGCTCAGGAGAGTGTCACAAACTTGATAAAAAAGCTGCAATTATCAGATGAGAATTCTGATACCCGCGCTCACCAGGAGGAGAGATTGCATATTAAAAGCCGGGCTTGTTTTCGAGCAATGAATAGGGCCGAAACTCTCTCGGAAGTTCTAGACGCTATTCATACCCTTACAACATTCCATAGGTGGAGTTATGCTGCATCAGGCGCAGATCTTGAGGATTCTCAGACGTCCAGTAGTATGAAATGTGGTGGCAATAGTGGTGTGTCGGTGGAGGATGATCTGTTCGGCCCTGAGCTCGCTTTGAAATGGAGCTGGATTAGATGCCAAGTGGAGTATGCAGCCGATGCTTGCAGAATGGCCTCGCGTAAAGGGAGGAACACGGACCCGAAGAGCAGTAGTGGAATGATCTTGGTAAGAATGGTTGGCGTGACGGATGGCCTCGAGATTGCACACAGCATAAGCCAGAGCTCCGGGTCCTCATTGTCAACGGAATCCCCAAACTTCAAATTTGAGGATAGTGAATCAAAGCACATGGCCAGAGAGTTCGATTACGTCAGGGAGGCTAGCTCCATCGATACAAGGACATACAAGTCTTTGAAAGGTAGTAGAAGCATCAGTCGCTCTGATTCAGATTCTCAGTTGAGTGTCCACAGTGATGAAAGCTGGGAGGAAGTTGTAGGTATGTCAGATGACGAGGTTCCCACTGAAATTCTTTTGCAGTCACTTGCCATGAATGTTGGTGAACAGACCGGTGTTCAAGGTCAATTACCGTCACAGAATAAGCGAAAGTTTCAGCAGATTTACACGCGGCCTGGAGAAAGAGAAGCAGCGGCGCGAGCAGCAGATGACCATGCATCCACCACCACCAGGTCCACGCACATAAGCCCTGGGCTAGATGCAGGTGGACAAGAGTTTCTAGCGTATTGTGATATAAGCTTCAATGCCGCGAGCTTCTCTGTAGAATGCTCCATAAAATTGAAGCAATTCATGGACAATAATACGGCTGCTATCACTGCTATGGGCTTGTCCCTCGACCACCCCCTGCGCTTGGAAATAGTTCCCAACAAAGAGCAGGTGGATGCTCTTGCGTGGACTGGGGCGGTCGAGGTTTATGCAAGTCAGCAAAGCGAGTGGCACAGCCACATGTCCGAGGAGGTCTGCGGTCTGCTATGCTTCATCCCCTACATTGTCAGGCATTTTTTCGAAATGAACGTCGCGGCCTTCTTGGGCCATCGGCCCACTCGGGAGCCAAGGGGAGATTTGTTCATAGGCCTTCTGCAGACGGTGGTGAAGCGGTTGGCCAACGTGGACAGGGATCACTGCTGCGTGTGCTCGGGACCTCTGCTCCAAGTCTTCAGGACTTTGAGTTCCAGAATCATGTGGCCTTGCGAGGACAACATGTGCCAGGCATTGTTCGCCTCGTGGCAGACGGTGAGTACGTACGACGCAGACGAGCGAGCCCGGCAAGAGAAGGAGTCGCTCGCGGAAGTGGAGAGCGATCTGCGAGACGACTTTCCCTTCTCCACAGCCATTCTCGACAACTTGAGGTCTGCTCTGGATGTCTACAGAGTAGACAGCGAGGGCCTGCACTACGGCCAGATGATTCGAGCGCTGGCCCGCATAGAATTATGGAACCGGCGCGATCTTGAGAAATTCCTTTGACCTCATCCGCTCTGACGCGGTGGATTCACTCACCTGCAGTTACACCTAACGAGTACGCGTGAATCATGATCATCATCATCGTCCTGGCAGTAGCACTATCGAGGGGCATCGTTGTATCCCTAAACTTTGCCACAGTCACAGCTGATCCAATCGACATCACTCTTCGAACTTGCTCATCTTTCCTTGTGTTCGATTGTGTTACCTCTTGCCTCTCAGTTGGCAGCTTCGCCACTCGCGAGGAGCCGGCTGCCTGCCTGCGTGCCTCAAGTCAATGATTCGATTTTGTTTTGAACCCCGGTTCGTACCAGGACAAAGTCCTTCTGAGAATGAATGCCGCAGTCTCGAGCGAAAATCCGCACTCCGAAACAGAAAGGCCGCCCGCTCCAACAGAAAGCCGTCCCCTTGACGGCAGGGGTCTTGGACTAATGCTAGCTTGACACATGAGATCTTCGTTTTCTGTTGTGTTGGAGCTCCCTGTGGTCTCCATTTTTTCTCCTGTATCTACATTGTGCACACGGTAATTCCCACTGAAATGGACTTTCCCCCCTCTTGACTCGTTTGTTTCCCGGACATTGCCTTTTGTCTACTAGTTGATCGACTATTCTATGGATGTACTTCCAGGCTTGCGTAGCTCTCACATCGCCCATATCACAACAGACGACGTGCATTGTGAGAATCATTGTGCTAGTGATTTGGATTTGGCTTGAATTGGACTGTTTTCGTTTTCTCCTTGTTTTGAAATTCACTTCTGATGAGTTCAGAGCTTCACCAGTTGTGTACACGTGATGTCATAAGCGGAAGTAGCACTCTTATAGTACACTGCTTACATTATGGAGCCCAATTAAATTTTCGATGACTAATTAAAATGCATCATAGTATAAAAGATGAAATTCCGAAATGCTTGAAGTATTTAGGTCAGGTGAAGTTAACGAGCTATTCCAAAGCATAATGTGAGAAAAAGTTCATATTTTTTTGATTATTTCAAAAGAATTGAAAATAACTATTTTGAAATTGCATTCACCAAAATTAAAATAAACTTGCAAAAGAATATTTTGTACTCGCAATGGGTTGCTCGAATCTTCATGCAATTCTTAGGTTTCACATGTAGTCTTGGCAACTTCGGATGCGGGGCGAACCTGGACAGTGCACGATGCTCGTATGAAAGTCGACCACAGTGTAAGATATGCCCTAGTACTTCTGTTAGTGGCGAAATTTTCATAAACTGTTGATTTTACATTTTACGTAAAAATGCCACTTATTTTTCAAATTTCCAGTGAATTGAAGATACTACATAAGAACTTCCGATGAACATGTAAGCTGTTGAGATGTTACTTCAACAAACATTTCAATAAACCAAAAGTACTGATCAAATAGATAGATACTTGGAAACTTTAACTAGAACTGAAGCATATAATCTATCTTCATTTAGCAAGTTAATTAGCTTTGCGCAAGAAGTAAATACGTATATTCATACACTTCAAGCTGCTTTTTATAAAGTAAACTAGAATCTGACCTATTGTAGAAAGAGTCATTCCATTTTATTCTAACGTATTTTATACCATGTCTTTGAAAACATGTATTCATTGTTATTCCTGAAGTATTAATTTGTAATCCGTATGAAATACATCTCGGTGTATAATTGGAATTTTATCCGATAAATCATAAGCGCAAATTTTTTGAATGTTTGGAATTCTAAGATAAAACTTTTTTTCAATATATTAAACGTACATTTATTACTATTTGTAACAATTTTATTATATCCAATTCGTTGATGAAAATTTCATATCTTTCTGATCATATGATTATGATTAATGTACATCACATTCAAGATTTTCAATACGGAATGTTTTCTTTACATTCTACAGAAATTTATATTAGATAAATTTATGTTAAAAATTATAATATCATACAATAATGTGACGCAAGTTTTAAACGTACATATTTGAAATTTAGTAACATAGGTGAAATAATTTAATATTTTGAAGAAATAAATTAATAACTTTGAATCATCAAGAAATAGCTTTTACTTTGAAATTAAATGTTCTCTTGTGTATTTTATTTTTTATTGAATTAAATTTTAATTTCTAAGGAATTTTTTTATAAAATACATTTACATTTTTAAACTTTGTAAAAATATATTTATCTTTCTAAATACAAATTGAAAGTTTAAATCATCATATCTTTTATTTCATATTAAAAATTTATACAAGAATAGTGATCACAATTCATGTACAAACATGTGTACAACTTTAGATGACATTCATCTAAATTTGTATGCATGTTATAAATTTAATTTTTATAAATTAATTATTATCATATTGTTAAAAATTCCATTGATGAATTTAAAACTTATTCCTTGAAGAAGTAATAAGTTGATCATTTTTCAACTATCATGGAATCAATTTTATTTTATTTTTGAAAAAATTTGCAAATGTTTGTGTTCAACATAATTATAATTAAAATATTATTATTTACTGGTTCAATGCAGTATCGATTTTATTGATTGGAAAAATTAATCACTATATGATGAATCGATTGATTAGCATGTTTGAATCATAATTTGAAATATGGACATGTACTATGCATTGAGACATAATGAGATCTCTCTAAAAATAAATATAAAGTACGGATAAATTTTCTTTATTTAAATAAGATTTGAATTTTGAACAAACATAATTGTATATTTTAAGATGAGTTCTTACTTTGTATTTTTATTACTGAATTTTTAAAGATCTTCAAAGAAGATTTATGAGAGGAAAAAAGTGATATACATGTATATCACTTTTTTCCTCGCATAAATTTAATGACTCAATTATTCTTAGCAACAATCATATGCTGAGATACAAAATCCAAAAGCATAGAGTATGAGAATAAGAGTTTAGCCATGGTGATAAATCACAATGTCTCCAGCTGGGACTCTTCTATTCTGCCATATGCAGATCATCACGGTGGGTGATAAGAAGTGAAACAATTTAAAGAATCCTTTTCAACATTGCAGAGTCTATGCATCTAGAAAATAGAACAAGACGACACAAAACGTGGTCAAGCTTGGAGGAACTTACATGGTTCTCAACCAACCATCCCCTGACAGGTTGTCGTAGGCTGAGGGAATTGGCGTTGGCGGGGTTTGAGAAGGGCTCATATTTCGAGGTCTGTGTGATCCATCAAAGCTCCTACTCGCTACGCGGTATGGCCATTCTAGCTGCAATTCGCCAGTAGAAGGAGAACGTCACGTTTCCGCAACAACTCGACGGGTACATGCTTCGAGATCAGTCACTATGTGCAGAGTACAACGAAATCTCCCCAATGATAAGTGGAATCCCAACTTCCTCAAATTTTCGACCTATAGAATTAACTCTTCGAAACTGACTGTACGATTAGGGTCGCAAGCAAGTCAAACCCCTGTGAAGACAACGCTTGACGGCAATTAGGTTGCTCAAACTCTACTGAGATTTGGATCGAAGGGTACCTCACCACTAGTAGAGCCAGACCCAGAAGCAGAACGAAACGTTGACATGGTCCTTGGACTCTGGAGATGTTCAGGCCTTGAAGTGCTCAACATGTCCCTGGCACCCTATGCCAACATGATTGTTGTGGACACTCACTCCACACAGCTGTGCCTCCGCACATCCGGAATTGGATCAGAGATTCAGAGCCTGTCGGCGATCTTAGAAAGATACCCAATCAAATCACTCATCAGACGGAACATCGGCGCTCAGTGGGATGGTTGAAGCGTCAGGTTGCCATGACCTACCATAGAAATCTACTCCATACGTTTGACAGTTTCGTGTAATGACTAGTGAATCGGGGCCCAAGTGGAGGACAATGAGAAGTTGCAACAGGAATGATCCCCAAGCACGGGGTTTTCTCGCAGATCTAGAAGATGTCTTGTCGATGAATTCACTTAGAAGCGCACTCGGTAGACCTAGACGTCCTCTGGTGCCTCGTAAGATAGATAAGATGAACTCCAAGAACTGCACTTGTCATATCCCGGAAAGGCTTTAACTTTTGCAGAAAGTACCGTACAGAGCTAGAGGCTGTCATGAATCCTCAACCAGATCCAGATCCAGGGGCAAGCGCCCTCTTGATAGCACAAGACGTGGACGTTTATGTTCTCATTATTAGAGTTAGTTCCGTGCCAGAATCCAAGTTCTCTTCCTCATCGCAGCATGCATGCCCAGCATATATATTACTGCTGCTGAGAGTTGCAAAACGCTTCGTCGCGTACGATCAAGAAAGAGTGCTCGAGAAAGCCTTTCTTGGAAAGTTCCTTCTGGTGTCAACTTTCTCTGCATGTTATCCACAAGATTGCATGCTGAGATTTTGACTCATCACTGTGCACGTTAATTGCTTTGGCCTTCTGCAAACCTCTAACCTGCCTTAGAACTAACGGAGTTTTCGAATCCACAGCGCTCACCAGCTGGCTCACCAAGCTGACCCCGAGGAGAGGGAAGGGACTCCCTGCTTCATTTTTCCAACCCTAGACGTTACGCAGTTCAAAGAATGGAAAGAGAGAAGGTAATAAAAGTCTCACGAGGATGGTATAAGCGGATTCTTACGAGCTTGGATAATCGTGGAAGGTTGAGATACCGAGGCATTGCCATGAGTGCAGTACGATATTGATGTTCTCGTCTTCAAAGCTTTGAGCAACAGCTGGTGTGACAGGGAGGCTTTGAGGGTCTCTTGAATGGAAAAGCGATTTGAGGACCAGTCTTTTGAATGAGTCAACACCTAATCCAGTTTCTAAAAGTGTCCTTCGCCCAGTGCCAAACACTCAAAGCCTTGCAAAAATAAAGCACTTCCATACCCAGGGGGTTGAAGCTACACGTAGAGCAATGTGTGGAGATTGTGGTTCAGGAAGTTTTAATCATTGTTGTGGACAACCTATCACACCCTTTGGTTCCAGTTTGTACGTTTCCATCTCTTATCCAATACTAGAAGTCTTGGCCTTAACAGCACGAGAACGAGCTTGCTTTCCTCTCATCGATCAGAGTCTACCTACAAACAGCACTGTCCATGAATGTGATGCCAACCTCGATACCTTATACTTTTCCTTGCCAAAGTTTTGCTGTACCTGTAAAGGAGTCGTACGGTCAAATTCTCGTTAAGCTTGACAGAAGTTGCAGAGATCTGGTTCCCAACAAAAAGCTGCCTTGCCCTCATTTTTCTGAACAAGCTTTCGTGTTTGCTGTGGAAGGTGTTTTTCTCAGCACTGTCGGTGAGATCAATTGTAACTTGTAAGAGGCAAGCGTGGTTGAGCAGAGAAGTTCCGACTGTCGTGGAAGCGGTATTGTCTCCAAAATCTTCAGTTCTACTCTTCAATGACTGTTATACAATGAAGAACATCGAATGAGGACATGATCATTGCGACAAGAAACAACTCTTCAAGTGGGATTTGTTGGACCCCAATCATGCGTTAACTTGGAGGAGATTCTGCTGTAAATTTGGAAAGCCTGGTATGAAGAAAGTGTTTGTTTCTCTTTAAGATACAGGCTCGTCACATTCGCATCATCGAATGAAGAAACGGGTGACAAATTCACCTGCATGTCTGGGCACTTTCCGTGATGCTGCATCCCTCCAAGACTGAAACCGGTAGCATTTCCTTCGGTAATGTTTCAATAAGAAGGATCAAACTTGTCTTTAGCTTCAGTGAACTCCCTTCCGGCGCAATTGAAGAGCTAGTGACTGCATAAACCAGAATGCGACCAAGTGACTCTAGCTTGCTCCGTGATTGCTGTGCCTGGCAGCAATCACATCCTTAGTCCACACATACACATGTTTGGCCAGGCCGTGTTACCCATGGAATGGAATGCTAGTGTATGCGGGCCGAAACAAGCCCTGAACGTTGAAAGATGAGTCACCTCACAGCTTTGGGAGTTGAAACTTTCAAATCCCAACGTCAGTGGAGCGCGGATATTGCAATTGGACATTGGCCTAAGAGCGTTGAAGTTTGAAAGTGTGAGACCTGAGACCTAATCCACGTGGCCATGGTATGACTTCCATCAGACATTTCTTAGTGGAAACTGGTCGCAGAGCGAAGGCATCGGTAGCCTTTTTGACTGATAAGAGTAATGGAAAACTACTTTTGTTGGATTCTTTTGACAGCCGACATAACATGGCTAAAGGAAAAGAAAGAAAGCAAGCAACCTTTTGTTGGGCAAACTAGCAAATCATGGACTGGCGCCATCACTCGGACCAGTCCAATACCCGGTCCCGGACCTATTTCCCATATCCCCCGAGACCATAAATACCGTATAGTCCACGAAATTTCTAGAGAAATAAAGGAGGTCGCGAGTAAGCGTTCCCCGTGGTACCCTTGAAGAAGTCTGGACTTAGTTCCGAATCATGACATAGATATCTAGACAATCCACTTCTCTAAAGTAATCACAAACTTTGAAACTCATAACAATAACTATTAAACACATGGGTAATAAGTCAAATATCATTGATCAGATACAATGAAAAATTAAAATCAATTTGAGAATCAGTTGTAAATAAGAAGAATATGAATATAATGTCTACCTTCAATTTTCTTTATTTAATGTGAATGAAAATTAAAATTACTTCGATAGTAATTCTTGTGAATAACTCATTAAATTTAGATTTTGCAATGAAAAATTCAAGTTTTTTATTGCGATTTATTTGAAAGAGATTTTTTTTTATCCTTGACTCTAAAATTTCATTCAGATATATGAATTCTTTTTTAAAATTTGCTAATAGATAAATTGCACCCCAAAAAAATGACGATTTTTCAATTCTAATGTAAAGCTTGATTACAATTCAAATTTCTATTTTATCATAAATCAAGCTCATATCAATGTGAATTAGTATTTAAATTTTCTTCTGAATGTAAGCACTCAAAGACACTTAAATTTTTTTACAAAAATTTCCACTTTGATTGAAGCGTTCTGCAGTTTTTCATTTCAAGAGGTCATAAAGTTATGATATATCCTCAAATCATAAATCATCTTCTTAATTTTTTGAACCTAGAATATTGGATTCACATTAATATGAGCTTGATTTATGATAAAATAGAAATTTGAATTGTAATCAAGCTTTACATCTCAATAATTGGAATGAGCATGTTGGATAAATTACATCTGAATATTCCGACGCGCCAAACGAATCTCGTTCTTGTCCACACTCCAAATATTAAACTTTGTATTCTACTCAATATGTACAACATATGAGTATAGTTCAAGTTTCGTGCAATTTGGAGACCTTTAGAACAGGGTTAGCGATGTTTATGTTCCGAGGATGAAACGAAGACTCCTTCAAATTAGTACCAATTTAAAGATTTGTAATGACAAGAGTGAATCTCTTTGCTAAACGTTAAACGGGAGAACAAGATTGGCAGTTCCTGAATAGAAGAGGGAGCCAAGTGAATATAGCCAAAAGATGGGAATAACCCATGAAGGCCTGGATGAAACCAAACGGTAACATGAAGCTAGACCCGAATAGCATCACAGTGGGAGATTGGCAGTTCCCGAGTAGCTGAAACGTGTCGCTCCCTGCCTTCGGAGTAACCGTTGCAGCTGTGTGGAGGCACTCGGACCGGAAGCCACATGGCGCTCGTCGAGACCAGGTGTGACCTGTTACCGTTGCAGGTGCCTATGTCTTTCTTGATTCGCTAAAGAGTTAAATTAGGCACTTCGTGGTTTTCAGACGTCTAGATCTTCGAGACCGAACAAGTTGGGCCATTCATGTTTAGTTGTATATTTCACTGTTCAACCAACACTCAACCATTTTCTCTTTTGAGATGCAGTTTTACACGTGACATGGAGTGGAGGGTAATTGGTGGACAATTTTGGAACTGTAGGAACTCAGGTCAGGAAATGGTAAATTTGCTAGGTGAAGCTAGTTCTGAACGAGAATACACAAATTTTCTCACCGGAATGTACCATACTCTTTCCTTTACAAGTTCATATGTTCCAGATTTAGCTCTCATGTGCTTTGGATGCGTACCCAAAGGGACAATGTAGGGTAACATTCCGTTCCATATTCTGTGTTTGGTGTTTTTCGGTTAGAGTTCGCTCACGACAGTGTCCGCATCATCCTCCACACGGGTCAGACAATGGTCTAACCGCCGCTCATGTCCTTCACAGACAATAGGAACCTTCCAACGTTTGCCAAGTTTGGCATTTGGACCGAGGACATCAGAGGATGGCATGGATGTGAGGTTAGACAGACACATGAAGCTGGAGGCCAAGTTAACACGAGCACTTCTCAGAGTTTGAGAACTGAAACCACAACGAGGATTATTCCACAGCCATGAGGTACATACACTACACATAGTTGCGGAGCAGAAACTGAGCTTTGTACTCATAAATATTGTACATAAGAAATGTGGGCAAGTGTTAAGCCACGTACGGAATTGCAGAACAGTGAACATTGATGTAGGGCAACATTGCCATCCTATAATGGTTCCTCGCAAGTAACTACTCCGGCTCCAACGGTAGTCCTCTAACTGTATTTGCTGATCGAACCACGGGTTATATAGGTAATGGAATTGCTCATCAGTGTAGAAATATTGATCCCGCGATGCCAGTCTGGGAAGGTCCGCCTCTCCATGTCCTTTCCGCCTCGCTAGAATCAAGGATCATCCAAGGAGCAATAAAGTACGCATGTTATTATAGCCACCATTTGCTGCGGCAATGCCTGAGCAAGCTGAGAATGATCTGTGCATCGAGGTATATGGCTGTCGACAGATGAAACAGGAGACTTATTGACTTGCATGTGACATGCGTCGTGCCCTGGGCCCAGAATAGCCTCTGCCAAGGTAGGCACGCGCTGTATGAATTCCCTGATATTGAAAAACAATACAATCTCACTCGATCGAAGACACAGTATACCTGTACTTTAAAGTATGTTAATAAAGGCTTCATTTTTACATTGAACTACTTCGCGGGTACTATTACAGATCTCATTGTCTCGTCCTCGATGAAGGACGACTACACAGCCCTTTGGACTGCACCTCCGAGAGGGCATCACCACCCACATTTGAGGTTCGAAATGGTGCCAGACCCAGTGAGCGGAAGGGATCACAAGGCCTCAATAGGGAGGGCAGCCCTACGGACTTTCGTCGGACTAATGCACTTATTCTAATTCAGCATGCTTGTAAAAGCTGGCACTTCCACGGGGAACGAGTCAATCTCGTCAGCCCAAGGGCTCTGCTTGGGACTTTTCACTGTACGAAGAGCCCTCCACACAGCACTGTTACACTTGAACCCGGACCCGAAGGCAATTTGCCACAATCGATCTCCTCTTCTCACTCTGCCCTTAGCCTCGGTATAAGCAAGTTCGTACCACAAAGAGCTGCTCGAGGTGTTGCCAAACCTGTAGAGAGTCATGCGAGATGGCTCCATATGCCACTCTGTGAGATTCAGATTCTTCTCCAACTCGTCCAAAACGGCTCTTCCCCCGGCGTGAATGCAGAAATGCTCAAATGCTAGCTTAAAATCTGGAATGTAGGGTTTGATTTTCATCTTGAACAACTTCCGCCCGACCAATGTGGCAAAGAAAAGAATCTGCTCTGACAAGGGAAGGACCAAAGGCCCCAATGTGGTGATGTTGGCCTTCAGTGCATCACCTGCAACACCCATCAGGTCTCGAGACAAAGAAACACCAATCTTCCCTTCGTCGTCCTCTTCTTGCACCACACAAGAAAAGCACTTGGGATCAGCGCCCTTGTGAGTTCGTACTGTGTGTACCAACTCATACTTGGCGCGTCTCCTCTCCTTCATTTTGTTAGACAGGAGAATTGCAGCACCTCCCATCCGGAAAATGCAGTTGGACAGCATCTTCGAGCGGTCGTTACCCATGTACCAATTCAAGGTGATGTTCTCCATGCTCACGACGACAGCGTACGTGCTGTTGTGAACTTGCAAGAGATCCCTGGCAAGGTCTATGGAAATGACTCCCGCGCTGCAGCCCATGCCTCCCAAATTCAAAGACTTGATGTTGCCTCTCATTTTGTAGTGGTTGACAATCATAGCAGACAGCGACGGAGTGGGGTTGAACAGACTGCAATTCACCACTAAAATCCCCACCTCCTTCGGCTTCACCCCAGTCTTCTCGAAAAGCTCGTCCAGGGCGCCGAACATAACTGTTTCGGCCTCCAATCTTGCCTCATGCATGTTGGGATTTGGGGGAACGCGGAGAACAGCTGGAGGAAGGTAGGTATCCTGACCGAGGCCAGATCTTTCCAGGATCTTCCTTTGAAACTCCAAACTCTTCTCGTTGAAATTTCCGGTGATCCTGGAGCACTCCATGAAGATCTCTCGAGTGACCTTCCTCTCATCTATGGGCTTGTAGCAAGCGAAGTCTACCAGATACACCGGATGGGGGCGCGACATGAAGTACAAGGTACCACCGAACACGAGAGTGCCGGAACAAACGAGGACACTGACCAGGTTGAATTGCAGTTGCTCCCAGAGCTGACCAAAATCCTCATGCCCAAGCCGGCCGAACTCGGCAGCCACCACCATCAACAAGGGAACCATAAGCAGATACAGAGCATGGGTGATAACATAATGGTAACCGAGCTTCACATACTTGAGATTTACAGAGTTCAGAAAATCGGGCAACCTCGTGCGGATCTTGATCGACACGGCAGCGTTGCCATCGGCCGGATTAACGGCCTCCTTTCTCGACGACGACTGCTTCAGAGGCACTTCCTCCTCCGAGCCCTTTGCATCCACATTACTCGCCCCCATCGCGAACGACGCCTGCCGTACGACGAAACAACTGCCCCGCCGGCTCGAAACCAGTCAATTGGTCCAAATGCAAACAAACGAATTGCCCGAACCGACCGAAGCGAAGCAGACCCAAGCCCAGCAGAGCCCAGCAGATGAGCCCCCCGCGCAGAATAGAAGAGTCCGGACGGTGGCAGGGGCAGACAAATAGGGTCGATCCCCACCCCCCGCCCAGCAACAAAGAGAGCAGCAGTCTGGGGACTGTACCAAAAGGAGAGGCGAGTGAGAGGGAGGGAGAGAGAGAGTGTGGGAGGAGGAGCGCTCGCTAACTCCCTCGCTCGCTCGCTCACTCACTCACTGACACAGACACAGGCCCCCAAGTCAAGTGGTGGTGGCACTGGCGCTTTACAGGCGTGGGAGGAGCAACATCTTGATCGTCCAGGGGCCGTCTGGCTCCGCTGCTCCCCCGCTGCGTATTTCTACCATTAGCGTCGTTAGCCTTGACGAGGCCGCTTCTTTAATGCCTTACCGGTGGGACGGACAGTAAAGCACTCCATAACCAACCACGCGAGGCCAGCCCAGCCCAGCCCGGGCCTCCCCGGGCTCTCGGCTCTCGGCTCTGACGGACTCCGATTCGCAAAAGCTACGTACTCAGTACCGGTTGACTTGGGGACCCCCCCGGGCGGGACGGCCTCCGCCCGTCTCGTCTCCGTCCCTCTGGGGGCCTTCATCTCTGCTCTGCACTCCACTGCCGTCCACTGGCCTCGTCCTCGGGTCTCCGGCGGAGGACGTCCGAAATACGAGAGGCGGGCAGTGGCGGGCAGAGGAGTGCAGAGCAGAGCCCTGGCGATAATGAGGGCCCAGGGCCCAGGGGGCGAGTCTGCTACCAACCACCCGCAGTTGCTTCCGCATAGTCCGAAGCGGAAGCAAGCCAGGAAAGCGAGGTACGTAATTTCCACTGCGACTGTGACGGTCATGCTTCGAGAGCACTACAGTACAGTACACATCTAGCGAGCAATCATGGCCCGCAGCCGTCGCGGTTCATCGCGGCCTTCACGACCTATCACGAACGGCGGCCGGAACCCAGCGCGAGGGAGGGAGGGAGGGAGGGAGACAGTCGATTCGATTGACTCGGTTGGCTGGTGCCCAGCAGCAGCACGCTCGCGAACGTCATGTTTCGGATCTCATCACCACCCACAGCAGCTACTGCACTGTAGTCCTTCTGCAGAAGCAACACAGTAACTCCACCATCCCAATCCGCCCTCATAAAAGCCTCCCTATCTCTCCCTGGACTTGGTTCAGCTATAGCTATGTCGGATCGGGTCGGAGCCTGCTGGTTAGCTGGCTCTGGCGCCAGGGAGAGGATTGCCTTGACTTATTCGGCACCTCTGTGCGCGGGGTCGCTGGCATTACCACTGCGTGCATTACTGCACAGCAGCCACGCACTGTAACCAGGTAATTGCCAGATTTTACATACCTTGCGTGCACAGTTATTCTAAGCACGGCTCAATCCTTATCCTATACTGGCGTGCTTAGGATTGGCATTAACGCTCGAGATTTTTAGTGCTTACAAGTGATGCTTGCAAGCTCAATTCTCTATAATACTCGATATGACACTTTTTCTGAGAAGAATATACTAAAATCCCAGGAAAAACATTCGCTTGTTGGTCATTCTGAATGACCAACAAGCGATATAAGATACTGAATGACTCATTCAGTATCTTATATGCTTCGCTGGACTCTGCATAGGAGTATAGGACAGTACAGTACTGGACTGAACTTGGCATGCAGGGGCGCAGTGGAGTTTGCGGCATCGCATGCTCGCACCGACTTTTTAACAGCCAACCACGCAGGTGGCTCTCAACCTCGTAACATGACTCATGAGGGTGCGTCGAAGTTGTGGACTGCGAGATCGGAGGCTTTCTCTCCGCCCTCACGTTTCTCTCTTCAGTTTGAATTCAAACTTGTTTGAAATCGCCACGACGCACGTACGACGTCTGTGCCGCGAAACCAACCGGAAGGCAAGGATGCGAGAATCCTTTTGGCGCAGGCGGAGTAAAAAGAAGAGAAAATTGGCTGAAATGTAGAGATGAATAATCTTATATCACATAAAGAATTACATTTCACATACATTTTATGTAGTTTTAATAGAAATATCTGTATGTACTCGAGTTTATGCAGTTTAAATACGTTCATGTGGTTTAAATGTTGGCAGGCACAGGCACGACCTTTTGACTAGTGAGTGAATAATGCGTCATTCGTGTGATGATCTTCACATTTTGGATGCTTTCGATCCTGCAGTCCAGTTTAGGGTCGAGTTTCAGGAGACCTAAAAGGAAATGCTCGAATTGTCGTATTGCTTGAGTCCCATTCATTCATTTGTTCTTTCAAGACTTCAAGTGCTTCAAATCGATTTTCTCGAACCGTGCTACTCTGCCTTACAAATAGCTGGAACTCCATCCGATATTTTCCCAGATTCGAATCCTGTCTCGATTGCACCGACGCGTATTAGTGGTACTTCACGAGATCTGTTGTTGATTAAGGGCAAGAGACGTCAATGGGTGCCTGGAACTGAGAGGTGCATCACTGTCCTAGGCATACGTTTTTTGCGACATGCAATGGCTAATTACTTCATGTTTCAGAGTGCATTATCGTACACATTCATACCGAGTGATAGAAACGGGCACCGTCTTCTTGTCTCCGATAAGAGGAAGGCATAGAGGTGAGATATGTGTCTATAGGAACAGGTCCCAACAGAATCTATCCTACTTACACGGAAACCGAGGCACATGTCACCATTGCACACTTGGATTCGAAAAGTTACTTGTACAGTTAAAGCTCGATTCAGGCACATGGGCTTAATGATCTTACCGATTAACATTGAAGAAATGACCAGCTTTGAGTACTGAAGGAAAGCTACACGTTATTCGATATCTGACCTAGAGTCCAATGCATTAATGGAGAGACAAGAACACAAGAAGAGGAAAGAGTTGGGAACTTGGGAGAATACTTGGGAGAAAAGATCTACGACGGTAGATCTCTTCTCCCAGCAACACTTTGTAGCTCAACTTGAATGTAAGGTAGGTCGCTTGCTCGACTTTCAAGGGACCGAAATCATCGGAGTGATCCAATGAGAGCGAAGGGACAAGAGAAAAAGATCAAAATTGTTCTTGTCGGACCACATTCCAAAAGCCAATTATGTATCAAGGAGAAAAGTACAAATACTACGTACAGAATGATCAAGAAGTCGTAATACATGAAGATCCTAATACAAATTAAAATTTTCTTTTCCCCTTGACCGGATTCAATGGTAATTAAATGTTGCAAGTAAACATTCGGTGTGGCGTTTTCTAGCCAGGGTAGGAGACGAGGTTGGACTTGGTAGAGCGAGTTGCCGATCTACGAGAAATTTCTCTGCAGATTGTATGTGGGATAATTCACGGAACCAGGTCTATCTCTGGCAAAGACATTTGTCTCTGGTGGCAGTAAGTGCAAATTTCCCAAGCAAGGAACTCCAGGACTTTTGACGCTTTCAGGTGCGGAACTTAGTACAGCGTTTCGATGTTTCGGAGATGTGAGAAATCACGGCATGTGAACTTCTTCCTTTTATGTTTAACTGATTAATTTGAATCAACAACGAAGGAACCCATTTGCCGCAGGCGACATTCGGGACTTCTGAAAACTCCGCATGTACCAGAGAATTCACGGCTTAGGGTACGTCATCTCGCTCAGCTGTAAACTGAGGGTCGCTTGTAGTCTTACGCTGCAAGCAGTCAGAGCAGGCTGCGTCTTCACTCACGAAACTATGTGAAGAACTGTCATCCCAAACCTCTCACGCTAAGAGCCATTTAAAAAGTCCATCTGCACACATTAAGATTTGCCCTCCTTGGTGTAAAAACTGTAATGATTACCTCGAGAGAAGATACACTACTCGTTGCTCCTCTTAGTCATCCACACGTCCATACCTGGGGTTTGTCGTCTATCGGACATTTGTCACTGCATTCTTCAACTTCTGGAATAATCCACCGAACCATCAACAACTCGAACTGTCAGAAATGCGGCAAATCAATAGGGCTGTATTCGAGTAGTATTCGAAATCGACGTGAAACTACTTGTCTTCTGCTGTCAGTATAAGAATAGACGAAGTCAACATCAAGCCGTTATCTAAATTTATGATTACTACCCTTGCAAACCAATCACTGTTGAGTACCTTGGAGGTCCATCCGTTTCGAGCAGAGGAGATAATTACAATGGTTCCTTCGTTATCAAAGCTTATTGTTTGCTATGCAAGAAAACAAAGATTCAGTCGGCTTCATGATCACTCTACCATATGAGCAAAACTGACAGGACGAATCAGATGATATCCATCAACACCAGCGTCCTAAACAATCACTGCAGATGCTCTTCGCGTGAATCTCCACCTGCTCTTTCGAAGTGAAATCAAAGAAACTGCTGCGATTCAAGCTGGGCGCCAAGAAGTATTCTGTTCGAACCTCCAAAAACCAACCCTCGAGGTGACGCCTGTGAACACAATAAATGTACACTAACACCGCCAGTAGGAGATTAGGTCTGAATCAACCGCACTGCTCTTCTGATGTCAAGCTTCCAACTTGGAGTCTCATTCATTAGGTTAATAAGTGAATTTGGACTCTTTGCCTGAAGCTAGGCTATGTGCAGTCTAGGTTCTTCCAATGCTTCCCATGATCCATGTTGCTCTGTTCAACGTATCACATTTCTTAACGTGTAGAAGGCAGTGCTTGTCGTAAATGTATGACCAGTGCAAATGCAATCGTAATTTCTCGGACCTCATCGGCTTAACGCCCAGACTCCCAACATTAAAACGGAGGTGCAGCCAAAACCGGTGCTAGTAAACCTTCTCATGCTGTTCGTTGGTCTTGCATCTGTGTTCGATGTCCACTTGAGTCTGTGTCCGGCACACTGACGTACCACTTCACTCGACCTCCTCCAATACTACTTGAAGGCCCGCCGTCGAAATCCGTCTTTCCTCACAGCTGCAAATGCCAGAACATGCAAAATTTCTTCCACATTCAGTCGCTTCAGCTCCCTCCTTCCTAGAACTCTACACTCAGTGCACTGACGTTCGAATTTTTCTTCAACAGTGCAGCGTTTCACCTCCTCTATGTCAAAAACCTACGTGTCTTGATGACTGTCTAATCCACTCAGTGCTAGATGCCATCCTCGCCTACTTCATTCTATTTACCTTCCGTGGAGTAAACCAACTGTGAAGTCGGAGTACAGTATTGCATAGACTGAACGAGAGGACTGTATTGGAGCGGAGGAATGTTCCATGTCCAGTTGAGAGGACTTCCTGAATCATCCGCTTGGTCCACTGGCAAATTGACACAGGCCACTAGAGGCATTGGAATCGGAGCGAAACATCTGATCTGCACATGTACGTATTAACATCTCCATGCCGAGCAGTTATATGTCAACACCAGGAACCACTCTTTTTCTGTCTCCTCTTTTCGATGGAACTTTCTGGAATGAACACATCTTAGATAGTTCTTATTCTCTCAACATGCCTTAAAAGCTAACTCATAAGTCTTGAGTATAACAAAGAGACCAATGTCAACCATGTAATCGAGTTTTTCCAAGAAATAATACTCATTTGCATTTTTACTCAATAGTACGGAAAATACATGAAATAATCATCAGACGTGAATTCCAAATGAGTATTTAGGAGAATTTAGAATTGAAGATGTTGGTGCTTGGAGTCGGGCTAGGGGTTTGCCCCGGGTGACAGCGAAAGGTAGAGTAGATCACTAGTAAAGAGCTTGGTTTTCTCACATTGCATTGGGAGTGATAACAATAATATTAGCCATATATTGTGTTGGGGTTCATTGGAATAAAGCTTCATACTAAGGATATAGATAGGTTTTACTGATTATTTTTATTTGCATTAAGAGCGAATTTTCATTGCTGATAAAGACGTGTCACTTTTGATTTTTATCACCATTTCAAAATCGTGTATTGAGTCTGTTAAACCATAGTTGAATTTCTTGGAATTAGAATCTTATGTTATGAGTGTGTCTTTTGAGGTTATGAATTCTTGAAATTTTCCACAAGAGTTACAGATTCATGAGTTTGTGATATTGAATACGATAATAATTGCTTAAATAATATCACTTTTTTCTTGTCTATTCCTGGTTTTAGCTTTACTTGCTTTCATTATCATATTTGGAATCATGATATATTCTATGCATAGGAAACATTTTTTTTAAATCACAATAAGTAGAATGTAGAGTTTAGATTCTTCGAATTGATATGCACAATGAGTTGTACCAACACATCAACAAATAGTTTTTTCAGACTATATCAATCAATTCATGAAAGTGATAAGATTTTCAATCATGATATATTTTTTAGCTTCTGAAGATTAACCTGCAGGTTAAGTTAAATTGCTTATATGCTTTTTTTATTATATTTCATGAATAAACTAAATGAGTATTTTTCTTGTCATTCTATCAATATGCACATCTTTAGATAAATAAAGTAACATTTTTTTATTACTTTATGATGTCCAGATTAGATAACACAATGAAAAGCAAGTGATTATCTAAAATGTATTCTTGCAGTGATTTTATGAAACGCAAGTCGTAAAATCACTGCAAGAATACATTTTAGATAGATTGTAGTTTATCGTGTAATTCATTTTAGATAGATGAGTTTCACACCCCCAAAAAATATTATTTTTTAATTACTAACTTGGTTGTCTCAACTAACACACTTAATCCTTATCTAACAAGCGCACAAATTACTTATATCTGATGATGAAAAACCAATTATAATGCAACACTATTTTCATCTTGAATAATTTCAATTTTAGATTTAATTAATTGAAGATGTTGACAATAATACCAACAACAACAATCAAAGATTTGACTCTATGAAAAAAAGTTTAATTTTTTCAAAATTCAAAATATATGCAATCACAAATAAATGAATACCTATTTTAAAATATTATTTTGTCAAAATATATGCAATAATATTTTTATTTAGCAACATGAAATCAAAATATCTTATTGTTCAAGTCTGGAACTAATTTTTTTAATAAATAAATTGCAAATTGAAAATAAGCTGGTACAATAAATCACAATATATGAATTTTTTTTCCAATATTTAAATTTTAAATTTTCTCTTTAAAATATTTCTAAAAAATTGAAATAATCTCTAGATTGATATTTTTTATGATATATAATAAAAAATGCATGAATTGGCATTGAGTAAACAAGTCTTACATTATGAATTATTTTTAAATTAATATGAAAAGAAAAATATTTTTAATTACCATTTTTTGCAAATCTTAGACCAACATCTTAAATTATATATTTATATACTAAATTATTTTTAAGGATTTTTTTATTAAAAAAATAATCATTCAAATTTATTATTTATGGGTGAATTTCAAATCTCATAAATTTTTATGGTTAGTCATGATAGTGCAAAAGTTTTTATGATTTACTGAAAATTTTTAATTTTTGTACTTTAATCATGAAAAAAATTTCAAAAACCTAGAGTTCAAATATTGATAAAATATTATTTCTTTTGTATAAGATTTTATTTTTTTATATAATTTTTTAGCTAAAGATTGCATGAAAATTGTAGATATAAAAAAATATTTAGATAAAAAAATTTATGTTCAATCATTAATTAGCATGAATGTATAAAGTAACAATCTTCTAAATGTTGCATGAAAAAATACATCATCATGCTACTCATGCCAATTTTATACATATTATACAATTAGTAAGACTATTCAATTCTTTCAATTAACTCATATGTTGAACTCACGGTGTACATCAATGTGTCTGAGTTGCAATTAAAACTGCTTTATATTTCAACAAAAATTAAAGAAACTTACAGAAATCTAAAATTTACAATGGAATGAAAATATTTTGCCCCAAAACATATAGAAAGTTGGTTTTTCTTTCAAGTGTCTGATATCTTAAAAAAAACGTTATTTTATATTTTTTACTTTATTTGTTCCATGTATCAATTCCCAATCTATGTATGGTAATGAAGATACTGCCATGCAATAATATATCAAGCCAATGTTGACATCTGCAAGATTTTTGTAAAAGCATATAATTCTTTTCCACATATTACAAAAGCTCTTACTTTGATTACAAACTTCTTTAAATATTGTGTTATAACTTATAACACATATTATATATACAAAAAAAGACTTATAACTTATAAGTCTTTTTATTTCTTAATCTTGTGTAATTTTGTCTCATAAGTTTCATGAAGTGAAGGTGAACGTTTAAATATTATATATTCTAGAGCACATCACGAAATACAATTTACTAACTTAGAACATTAAACACTAATTGATCAATAAAGAATGAATAGCTGCATTTATGAATGCATGAAAGATTTCTTAAGATAATAAATACTGAATTCTGTTAAAATTTTTGATTTATCACAATCTGTTATAAATATTATTTTATTTTAACTTATGAATAATTATGTCCAAGTTGAAAGTAAACTTTCAAAATTACATTGTCCGTAATATGTCCAGTAGGTTATACTCAAAACATACAAATATCTATATTTTTTTATATTCAAAAAGTAGATTTCAAATTCTTTGTTATATTTCATTCACTGACAGTTCATTTTTTCCTTTTCATGAACAAAGGAATCTGGTCCTTTGTTAGGATTGCAATATAGTGTTTAATATACTTAATATACATAAGTAAACAGTATCCGCAATCTTTAAATTTGTTAAATAATTCTTAATGGATGTTGCTTTGCAATTGCTTACTTATTCTCTGGTTTGTAGTTTTAAAATAATAATAATTTACCAATCGTCCCCTTAAGACAACGAATAATTATGATGATATCGAGTTTGAATATGGCCCTGCTCATAATTTCATATTTCTTCGATTTATTGATAATAATCCATTTCTTCGACAATATGATCTTTATTCCATCTATAAATTTTTTCATGATGACAACAAATAACTATTCTCCTAGCGTTGTAGTTCAAAAAGGTTTGCATTCATTTTACGCTTAGCAACTGTAAGCATTGCTTCACACAATCTATTCCACCAGGCAAGGACCAGAGACTAGTAGTCAAGAATTGTACCCTAGAGTAGTCACTATTTTGCGTTCTGCCTGACCATCTCATTTAAGTCGAAACTAGAAATTTGAAACTTCATAGTTTCATTGTTACTGTGTATCTCGAATGAATTAGTTCGATATAATCAAATCAGATGAATTTTTTTGGTGTGGTTTTGACACCCCAGAAACAAAATTGACAGGTGGGATGACTCGATTAAGTGGTAAATGGAAGAAACTAAAGGGTGGTAGAACGGGCTGAGTAAAAGCAAAAAGAAAAACTGGACTAAGTGAAATAACAAGCAAAACTTGAAAGGAGCAAAATCCTGAGAAGATTTTTTCTTTAAAATGGTATCCTAGTTTGTGCATACACGATTGGTCGGGAACCAATCGTGTTCAATCTACGCACCTCCATCTTCTTGATGTTGAAACTCTCGGTTTAGTCTTGAGTGAATTTCATTAAATGGAAAACGTAATCATCCACTTTGTTTTCGAGGTGTAAACCACGTCTTTAAATGCGCCGGAAATCATGCTAAACATGTGCTATGTTAGACCAGACGAGCATCATTGCCAGTCCTCTATCAAGTCTTATCCACTCCAGCATATTATAGCATTAATAAAGAGGCCATGCCAATCTCGACGGTGTGTGACTGTCTTTGCAATTCATGTACCCCTTCCGCAAACAATTTTGCCGCCGAAATTGCCACACGATTTCCGGAAACGGGCAACACACATGATTCAACCTTGAGTGATGCAGGGTGTGGTTCGATTCATATATTTTACGATGTACACGCTGAATCCATTAAGACTGGTCTGCTTGGAAGGTTCTTGGCTGCCAGTTGTCCTCCGAGGGTGCACTACGGCATCGCACGAAACACGTGCAAATCTATTTGGAGTTACAGCCGCTTGGCATGCACACGACACCCTTCGAAAGATCGCGAAAGGTCTAGCTAGTTCACTTTGGCAAGTGCTTGTTGAGTCACGGGTCCGACTCTGAGGCACATCCATTTGGGTGAATCCTGGAGGAATAGAGGTTTGCAAGAATGAAAATCGTTCGGAAGCAGAGATGTATGGATATCCAAATCAAACTGCAGAAAAGTTTATTGAGGTTGGCTACGATAGCTGCAAATGTCTCTTTCCTATTGCGATCATGTACATGAATATTATAGCCCTAGACTTACATACGACTGTAGCCTTGGAAATTGAATCGTAGAAAAGGTGATGTGTTCTCAATCTGGACCATATAAAGTCTACTACTACTTATGATATGCATGCCAGTGGAAGCTGACCACTCTATTGGGAGACTGGCTACCACTCTCCAATTTTCCTTGCGATGCGGCTCTTCTTGTGGGTTTCATTGATTGGATGGTGTTTTCTGACACGGGGTTCATATTCCA